TCGCTGTCACGGATGCGCGCGCATCATCATTATGATCATTATCATTATCTAATGATAATAATAATAATAATTATTATTATTTTATTATCAACATATATAGTCACGACCGTCTTTCCTCAATTCCTCATCGCTGTCACGGATGCGCGCGCATCATCATTATGATCATTATCATTATCTAATCATAATAAATAATAATAATTATATTATTTTATTATCAACATATATAGTCACGACCGTCTTTCCTCAATTCCTCAATTCCTCATCGCTGTCACGGATGCGCGCGCATCATCATTATGATCATTATCATTATCTAATGATAATAATAATAATTATTATATTATTTTATTATCAACATATATAGTCACGACCGTCTTTCCTCAATTCCTCAATTCCTCATCGTTGTCACGGATGCGCGCGCATCATCATTATGATCATTATCATTATCTAATGATAATAATAATTATTATTATATTATTTTATTATCAACATATATAGTCACGACCGTCTTTCCTCAATTCCTCAATTACTCATCGCTGTCACGGATGCGCGCGCATCATCATTATGATCATTATCTTCTATAGAAGCTTCTATCTTTATAATTATGTATACGGATTTATCTGTATTTACAAAAAGTCAATTCGCTCGCGCCTCTAGCGGTGAAAATGAGGGGTAATACCTAATGTACATTTAAAGTTTGGAGCGGGACGTTTCACAAGAGTGACATCCACGGCTCCAATTTATAATTGTAACAAATAGTATTTGAATAAAAACATTCAATCGGGTAAAACACGGGCGTTGCCCGGGTCATTCGGCTATAGATTATAAACACAAGGTAATAAGACAACATCCATGATAAGGTACAGTTTGGATTATAGATTATAATTACAAGGTAATAAGACCACATCCATGATAAGGTACAATTTGGATTATAGATTATAAACACAAGGTAACAAGACCACATCCATGATAAGTTACAGTTTGGATTATTACTATATATAGTGACGACCGTCTTTCCTCATCGGCCGCCTCTGTCACGGATAATATACAGTTATCATCGTCATGCGTTCTTAATTCTGTCACCGTTTGCTTTTGGTTCAGTGGTAGAATGCTCGCCTGCCACGCGGGCGCCCCGGGTTCTATTCCCGGCCGATGCATTTTTTTTTTTTTACAATTTTTAAAACTCATTTATATATTATACAAGAATGACATCCACGGCGCCAATTTATAATTGTAACGAATAGTATTTGAATAAAAGCATTTAATCGGGTAAACCCCGGGCGTTGCCCGGGTCAAACGGGTAGTAGATTATAAACACAAGGTAATAAGACAACATCAATGATAAGGTACAGTTTGGATTATAGATTATAAACACAAGGTAATAAGACCACTTCCATGATAAGGCACAATTTGAATTATCGATTATAAACACAAGGTAACGAGACCACATCCATGATAAGTTACAGTTTGGATTATTACTATATATAGTGACGACCGTCTTTCCTCATCGGCCGCCTCTGTCACGGAAAATATACAGTTATCATCGTCATGCGTTCTTAATTCTGTCACCGTTTGCTTTTGGTTCAGTGGTAGAATGCTCGCCTGCCACGCGGGCGCCCCGGGTTCTATTCCCGGCCGATGCATTTTTTTTTTTTTTACAATTTTTAAAACTCATTTATATATTATACAAGAATGACATCCACGGCGCCAATTTATAATTGTAACGAATAGTATTTGAATAAAAGCATTTAATCGGGTAAACCACGGGCGTTGCCCGGGTCAAACGGGTAGTAGATTATAAACACAAGGTAATAAGACAACATCAATGATAAGGTACAGTTTGGATTATAGATTATAAACACAAGGTAATAAGACCACTTCCATGATAAGGCACAATTTGAATTATCGATTATAAACACAAGGTAACGAGACCACATCCATGATAAGGTACAATTTGGATTATAGATTATAAACACAAGGTAACAAGACCACATCCATGATAAGGTACAGTTTGGATTATAGATTATAAACACAAGGTAATAAGACCACATCCATGATAATATACAGTTTGGATTATTACTATATATAGTCACGACCGTCTTTCCTCATCGGCCGCCTCTGTCACGGATAATATACAGTTATCATCGTCATGCGTTCTTAATTCTGTCACCGTTTGCTTTTGGTTCAGTGGTAGAATGCTCGCCTGCCACGCGGGCGCCCCGGTTCGATTCCCGGCCGATGCATTTTTTTTTTTTTTACAATTTTTAAAACTCATTTATATATTATACAAGAATGACATCCACGGCGCCAATTTGTAATTGTAACGAATAGTATTTGAATAAAAGCATTTAATCGGGTAAACCCCGGGCGTTGCCCGGGTCATTCGGCTAGTCAACATATATAGTCACGACCGTCTTTCCTCATCGCTGTCACGGTTGCGCGCGCATCATCATTATGATCATTATCATTATCTAATGTTAATAATAATTATTATTATCAACATCCCTATATATAGTCACGATGTCTTTTCTCATCGGCCTCAGTCACGGATGCGCGCGCATCATCATTATAATCATTATCATTATCAAATGATAATAAAAATATTAATATTAATTATTATTATTTTCAACATATATAGTCACGACCGTCTTTCCTGAATTCCTCATCGCTGTAACGGATGCGCGCGCATCATCATTATGATCATTATCATTATCTAATGATAATAATAATAATAATAATTTAAAATACAATATAACGCGGCTGATGATTGTAAAACGAAAATTGCAATTATACCGCGAATGTTTCTTTTAAACAAAAATCGAAATCTATTTTAAAGAGAAATAACGATTATTTCTAACTTTAAGGATGAAGTATGATAGGATGAATTGTGAAGAGTAATGACAAACGGAAAAAATAAAAGTGTCCAGGGGCGGTAATCGAACCCACAACCTTCTGCTTACCGGTCAGGTGCCATGTCCACTAGGCTACCCTGGACGTATTTTTCCGTTCGTAAATAATAGTTAAAGTAACTTATAATACATTTAAAATACAATATAACGCGGCTGATGATTGTAAAACGAAATTTGCAATTATACCGCGAATGTTTCTTTTAAACAAAAATCGAAATCTATTTTAAAGAGAAATAACGATTATTTCTAACTTTAAGGATGAAGTATGATAGGATGAATTGTGAAGAGTTATGACAAACGGAAAAATAAAAGTGTCCAGGAGCGGGAATCGAACCCACAACCTTCTGCTTACCGGGCAGGTGCCATGTCCACTAGGCTACCCTGGACGTATTTTTCCGTTCGTAAATAATATTTAAAGTAACTTATAATACGTTTAAAATACAATATAACGCGGCTGATGATTGTAAAAAGAAAATTGCAATTATACCGCGAATGTTTCTTTTAAACAAAAATCGAAATCTATTTTAAAGAGAAATAACGATTATTTCTAACTTTAAGGATGAAGTATGATAGGATGAATTGTGAAGAGCAATGACAAACGGAAAAATAAAAGTGTCCAGGGGCGGGAATCGAACCCACAACCTTCTGCTTACCGCCCCTGGTTACTTTTATTTTTCCGTTTGTCATTAGTCTTCACAATTCATCCTATCATACTTCATCCTTAAAGTTAGAAATAATGGTTATTTCTATTTAAAATAGATTTCGATTTTTGTTTGAAAGAAACATTCGCGGTATAATTGCAATTTTCGTTTTACAATCATCAGCCGCGTTATATTATATTTTAAATGTATTATAAGTTACTTTAAATATTATTTACGAACGGAAAAATACGTCCAGGGTAGCCTAGTGGACATGGCACCTGCCCGGTAAGCAGAAGGTTGTGGGTTCGATTCCCGTTCCTGGACACTTTTATTTTTCCGTTTGTCATTACTCTTCACAATTCATCCTATCATACTTCATCCTTAAAGTTAGAAATAATCGTTATTTCTCTTTAAAATAGATTTCGATTTTTGTTTAAAAGAAACATTCGCGGTATAATTGCAATTTTCGTTTTACAATCATCAGCCGCGTTATATTGTATTTAAATGTATTATTAGTTACTTTAAATATTATTTACAAACGGAAAAATACGTCCAGGGTAGCCTAGTGGACATGGCACCTGCCCAGTAAGCAGAAGGTTGTGGGTTCGATTCCCGCCCCTAGGAGACTTTTATTTTTCCGTTTGTCATTACTCTTCACAATTCATCCTATCATACTTCATCCTTAAAGTTAGAAATAATCGTTATTTCTCTTTAAAATAGATATCTATTTTTGTTTAAAAGAAACATTCGCGATATAATTGCAATTTTCGTTTTACAATCATCAGCCGCGTTATATTGTATATTAAATGTATTATAAGTTACTTTAAATATTATTTACGAACGGAAAAATACATCCAGGGTAGCCTAGTGGACATGGCACCTGTCCGGTAAGCACAAGGTTGTGGGTTCGATTTCCGCCCCTGTACACTTTTATTTTTCCGTTTGTCATTACTCTTCACAATTCATCCTATCATACTTCATCCTTAAAGTTAGAAATAATCGTTATTTCTCTTTAAAATATATTTCGATTTTTGTTTAAAAGAAACATTCGCGGTATAATTGCAATTTTCGTTTTACAATCATCAGCCGCGTTATATTGTATTTTAAATGTATTATAAGTTACTTTAAATATTATTTACAAACGGAAAAATACGTCCAGGGTAGCCTAGTGGACATGACACCTGCCCGGTAAGCAGAAGGTTGTGGGTTCGATTCCCGCCCCTGGACACTTTATTTTTCCGTTTGTCATTACTCTTCACAATTCATCCTATCATACTTCATCCTTAAAGTTAGAAATAATCGTTATTTCTCTTTAAAATAGATTTCGATTTTTGTTTAAAATAAACATTCATGGTATAATTGCAATTTTCGTTTTACAATCATCAGCCGCGTTATATTCTATTTTAAATGTATTATAAGTTACTTTAAATATTATTTACGAACGGAAAAATACGTCCAGGCTAGCCTAGTGGACATGGCACCTGTCCGGTAAGCAGAAGGTTGTGGGTTCGATTCCCGCCCCTGGACACTTTATTTTTCCGTTTGTCATTACTCTTCACAATTCATCCTATCATACTTCATCCTTAAAGTTAGAAATAATCGTTATTTATCTTTAAAATAGATTTCGATTTTTGTTTAAAAGAAACATTCGCGGTATAATTGCAATTTTCGTTTTACAATCATCAGCCGCGTTATATTGTATTTTAAATTACTATATATAGTCACGACGGTCATGGGCGGCCGGTTCTGTCACGGATGCGCGCGCATCATCATTATGATCATTATCATTATCTAATGATAATAATAATAATAATAATAATAATTATTATTATTATTATATTATTATTATATAGTCACAACCGTCTTTCCTCAATTCCTCATCGGCCGCTGTCACGGATGCGCGCGCACAGGGAGGTCACGTGCTCGCCGGCAGCCAACGGGCGCGCGCCACCGGCATTACGTTATAGATTATAAACACAAGGTAATAAGGCCAAATAAAAAATAGTGTGTGATATGGCACAATTTGGATTATCTACTTATATAATTGCCTTTTTCTGTCTGTGTGAAGTTCAATGTGTGAAGTTCACGGATAGATTTTGGTCAGAATGGATAAAATAAAAAAAGTGTCAAGGGATGGGAATCGAACCCACGACCTTCCGCTTACCGGGCAGATGCCATGACCACTAGGCTACCCTGGACATATTTTTCCGTTCACATTTTTATTTTTATATTTTCAAGACACACACAGTTTGGGGCGGGACGTTTCACAAGAGAGACATACACGGCGCCAATTTATAATTGTAACGAATAGTATATTAATTAAAACATTTTTAAAATATATACGCACTCGGGTAAAACCCAGGCGTTCCCCGGGCCATTCGTCTAGTGTATTATAAGTTACTTTAAATAATATTTACGAACGGAAAAATACGTCCAGGGTAGCCTAGTGGACATGGCACCTGCCCGGTAAGCAGAAGGTTGTGGGTTCGATTCCCGCCCCTGTACACTTTTTTTTCCGTTTGTCATTACTCTCCACAAGTCATCATATTATACTTCATCCTTAAAGTTAGAAATAATCGTTATATCTCTTTAAAATAGATTTCGATTTTTGTTTAAAAGAAACATTCGCGGTATAATTGCAATTTTCGTTTTACAATCATCAGCCGCGTTATATTGTATTTTAAATGTATTATAAGTTACTTTAAATATTATTTACGAACGGAAAAATACGTCCAGGGTAGCCTAGTGGACATGGCACCTGCCCGGTAAGCAGAAGGTTGTGGGTTCGATTCCCGCCCCTGGACACTTTTATTTTTCCGTTTGTCATTACTCTTCACAATTCATCCTATCATACTTCATCCTTAAAGTTAGAAATAATCGTTATTTCTCTTTAAAATAGATTTCGATTTTTGTTTAAAAGAAACATTCGCGGTATAATTGCAATTTTCGTTTTACAATCATCAGCCGCGTTATATTGTATTTTAAATGTATTATAAGTTACTTTAAATATTATTTACGAACGGAAAAATACGTCCAGGGTAGCCTAGTGGACATGGCACCTGCCCGGTAAGCAGAAGGTTGTGGGTTCGATTTCCGCCCCTGGACACTTTTATTTTTCCGTTTGTCATTACTCTTCACAATTCATCCTATCATACTTCATCCTTAAAGTTAGAAATAATCGTTATTTATCTTTAAAATAGATTTCGATTTTTGTTTAAAAGAAACATTCGCGTTATAATTGCAATTTTCGTTTTACAATCATCAGCCGCGTTATATTGTATTTTAAATGTATTATAAGTTACTTTAAATATTATTTACGAACGGAAAAATACGTCCAGGGTAGCCTAGTGGACATGGCACCAGTCCGGTAAGCAGAAGGTTGTGGGTTCGATTCCCGCCTCTGGACACTTTTATTTTTCCGTTTGTCATTACTCTTCACAATTCATCCTATCATACTTCATCCTTAAAGTTAGAAATAATCGTTATTTCTCTTTAAAATAGATTTTGATTTTTGTTTAAAAGAAACTTTCGCGGTATAATTGCAATTTTCGTTTTACAATCATCAGCCGCGTTATATTGTATTTTAAATTACTATATATAGTCACGACCGTCATGGGCGGCCGGTTCTGTCACGGATGCGCGCGCATCATCATTATGATCATTATCATTATCTAATGATAATAATAATGATAATAATAATAATTATTATTATTATTATTATTATATTATTATTATATAGTCACAACCGTCTTTCCTCAATTCCTCATCGGCCGCTGTCACGGATGCGCGCGCACAGGGAGGTCACGTGCTCGCCGGCAGTCAACGGGCGCGCGCCACCGGCATTACGTTATAGATTATAAACACAAGGTAATAAGGCCAAATAAAAAATAGTGTGTGATAAGGCACAATTTGGATTATCTACTTATATAATTGCCTTATTCTGTCTGTGTGAAGTTCACTGTGTGAAGTTCACGGATAGATTTTGGTCAGAATGGATAAAATAAAAAGTGTCAAGGGATGGGAATCGAACCCACGACCTTCCGCTTACCGGGCAGATGCCATGACCACTAGGCTACCCTGGACATATTTTTCCGTTCACATTTTTATTTTTATATTTTCAAGACACACACAGTTTGGGGCGGGAGGTTTCACAAGAGAGACATCCACGGCGCCAATTTATAATTGTAACGAATAGTATTTTAATTAAAACATTTTTAAAATATATACGCACTTGGGTAAAACCCGGGCGTTCCCCGGGCCATTCGTCTAGTGTATTATATGTTACTTCAAATATTATTTACGAACGGAAAAATACGTCCAGGGTAGCCTAGTGGACATGGCACCTGCCCGGTAAGCAGAAGGTTGTGGGTTCGATTCCCGCCCCTGTACCCTTTTTTTTCCGTTTGTCATTACTCTTCACAAGTCATCCTATCATACTTCATCCTTAAAGTTAGAAATAATCGTTATTTCTCTTTAAAATAGATTTCGATTTTTGTTTAAAAGAAACATTCGCGGTATAATTGCAATTTTCGTTTTACAATCATCAGCCGCGTTATATTGTATTTTAAATGTATTATAAGTTACTTTAAATATTATTTACGAACGGAAAAATACGTCCAGGGTAGCCTAGTGGACATGGCACCTGCCTGGTAAGCAGAAGGTTGTGGGTTCGATTTCCGCCCCTGGACACTTTTAATTTTCCGTTTGTCATTACTCTTCACAATTCATCCTATCATACTTCATCCTTATAGTTAGAAATAATCGTTTTTTCTCTTTAAAATAGATTTCGATTTTTGTTTAAAAGAAACATTCGCGGTGTAATTGCAATTTTCGTTTTACAATCATCAGCCGCGTTATATTGTATTTTAAATGTATTATAAGTTACTTTAAATATCATTTACGAACGGAAAAATACGTCCATGGTAGCCTAGTGGACATGGCACCTGCCCGGTAAGCAGAAGGTTGTGGGTTCGATTCCCGCCCCTGGACACTTTTATTTTTCCGTTTGTCATTACTATTCACAATTCATCCTATCATACTTCATCCTTAAAGTTAGAAATAATCGTTATTTCTCTTTAAAATAGATTTCGATTTTTGTTTAATAGAAAAATTCGCGGTATAATTGCAATTTTCGTTTTACAATCATCAGCCGCGTTTTATTGTATTTTAAATGTATTATAAGTTACTTTAAATATTATTTACGAACGGAAAAATACGTCCAGGGTAGCCTAGTGGACATGGCACCTTCCCGGTAAGCAGAAGGTTGTGGGTTCGATTCCCGCCCCTGGACACTTTATTTTTCCGTTTGTCATTACTCTTCACAATTCATCCTATCATACTTCATCCTTAAAGTTAGAAATAATCGTTATTTATCTTTAAAATAGATTTCGATTTTTGTTTAAAAGAAACTTTCGCGGTATAATTGCAATTTTCGTTTAACAATCATCAGCCGCGTTTTATTGTATTTTAAATGTATTATAAGTTACTTTAAATATTATTTACGAACGGAAAAATACGTCCAGGGTAGCCTAGTGGACATGGCACCTTCCCGGTAAGCAGAAGGTTGTGGGTTCGATTCCCGCCCCTGGACACTTTATTTTTCCGTTTGTCATTACTCTTCACAATTCATCCTATCATACTTCATCCTTAAAGTTAGAAATAATCGTTATTTATCTTTAAAATAGATTTCGATTTTTGTTTAAAAGAAACTTTCGCGGTATAATTGCAATTTTCGTTTAACAATCATCAACCGCGTTATATTGTATTTTAAATTACTATATATAGTCACGACCGTCATGGGCGGCCGGTTCTGTCACGGATGCGCGCGCATCATCATTATGATCATTATCATTATCTAATGATAATAATAATAATAATAATAATTATTATTATTATTATTATTATATTATTATTATTATATAGTCACAACCGTCTTTCCTCAATTCCTCATCGGCCGCTGTCACGGATGCGCGCGCACAGGGAGGTCACGTGCTCGCCGGCAGCCAATGGGCGCGCGCCACCGGCATTACGTTATAGATTATAAACACAAGGTAATAAGGCCAAATAAAAAATAGTGTGTGATAAGGCACATTTGGATTATCTACTTATATAATTGCCTTATTCTGTCTGTGTGAAGTTCACTGTGTGAAGTTCACGGATAGATTTTGGTCAGAATGGATAAAATAAAAAAAGTGTCAAGGGATGGGAATCGAACCCACGACCTTCCGCTTACCGGGCAGATGCCATGACCACTAGGCTACCCTGGACATATTTTTCCGTTCACATTTTTTTTTTATATTTTCAAGACACACACAGTTTGGGGCGGGACGTTTCACAAGAGAGACATCCACGGCGCCAATTTATAATTGTAACGAATAGTATTTTAATTAAAACATTTTTAAAATATATACGCACTCGGGTAAAACCCGGGCGTTGCCCTGGCCATTCGTCTAGTATAGAATATAAATGAGTTTTAAAAATTGTAAAAAAAAAAAAAATGCATCGGCCGGGAATCGAACCCGGGCCCGC